ACACAATAGAAGACAGAGAAGAAATGGACAGATTCCTAGAAATGTACAAATTACCAAAAGTGAATCAAGAAGATATAATAACTCTCAATAATTCAATAACAGCCAATGAAATAAGAAATGTAATAAAAAAAAAACCTACCTACAAAGAAAAGTCCAGGTCCTGATGGATTCACAGATGAATTCTACAAGAAATTTACAGAAGATATAATTCCTATACTCCTCAAACTCTTCAATGAAATTGAAAAGGATGCAATCTTCCCAAAATTATTCCTAGAGGCAAGTATTATACTGATATCAAAACCAGGGAAAAATGCAACTAAAAAAGAGAACTACAGGCCAATCTCCATCCTGAACATAGGTGCAATAATCCTAGCAAATAGAATACAGCAAATCATCAAGAAGATCATACACTATGACCAGGCAGGATTCATTCCAGGGATGCAAGGATGGTTCAATATACATAAATCTATAAAAATAATACACTATGTCAATAAAGCAAAAAAGAAAAACCACATGATCATCTCCATTGATGCAGAAAAGGCTTTTGACAAAGTCCAACACTCATTCATGTTCAAAGTCTTACAGCAAATTGGAATAGATGTACTCTACTTCAATCTGATAAAAGCCATTTATGACAACCCAATAACTAACATAATTCTAAATGGGGGAGAAACTAAAATCTTTTACTCTTAGATCTGGTACAAGACAAGGATGTCCTCTATCACTTGTCCTATTCAATACAGTTCTGGAATCATTATCTAGAGCAATTAGACAAAAGAGAGAAGAGGAATAAGAATAGGTAAAGAAGAAGTTAAATTACCATTATTTGCAGATGACATGACACTTTACTTGGAAGACCCAAAAAACTCCACCAATAAGTTAGTAGAATTAATACATAAATTCAGTAGCATAGCAGGATACAAAGTTAATACCCAAAAATCAGTAGCATTGCTCTACACAGTTAACAGACACAGTGAGAGGGAAATTAGAGAAACAATACCTTTTTTAGTAGCACCACAGAAAATAAAATACCAAGGAGTTAACCTAACTAAAGAAGTCAAAGATCTTTTCAGGGAAAATTACAGTACTCTGAAAAAAGAGATTGTAGAGGATTTTATTTTATTTATTTATTTATTTATTTATTTATTTATTTAGTATGTGTGTGTGGCCAGCTCAGCCCACCAGGGGGCATGGCTGGCTGGCATGTGGTGCTGGGGGATTGAACCGCGGTCCCTGTGCTTTGCTTAGCTTAGCTTGTTCTAAGTAGGTGCTTTAGACCACTGAGCCATCTCACCATCCTGTAGAGGATTTTAGAAAATGGAAAGATATTCCCTGCTCCTGAATAGGAAAAACCAACACTGTGATGATAGCCAAACTACCAATTGTTGTACAGATTTAATGCAATCCCTATCATACTACCACCAACATATATCACAGACCTAGAAATCATTCCCAAAATTTATTTGGAACCAAAAAAGATCTAGAATAGAAAAGGCAATCCTGAACAACAAAGTCAAGGCAGGAGTCATTAAAATTCCTAACTTGAAATTATACTACAAAGCTATTTTGATTAAAATCAGCATGGTACTGGCAACAAAACAGACCTGAGGATTAATGGAATAGACTAGAAGATGCAGAAGTCACTATGAACACTCTCAGCCACCTTATCTTTGACAAAGGGGCCAAACATGCTTACTGGAAGAAAGATAGGCTCTTTAACAAATGGTGCTGGAAAAACTGGCTCGCTACATGCCAAAAACTAAAACCTGACCCAGGTCTATCACCATGCACTAAGCAAAAGTCAAAGTGGATTAAAGATCTAAACATTCAAACAGAAACACTAAATCTCCTGGAAGTAAAAGTAGGAATTCTTGAAGACATAGGGGTAGGCAAAGAGTTCATGAAGAAAAATCAAATCGCATGGGCAGTATCTGAAAAAATTAACAACTGGGACCTCCTCTTATTGAGAAGTTTTTGCATGTCAATAGAAATCATGAACAAAGTGAAAAGACAACCCACAAATTTGGAAAAAATCTTGGCAAATAAGCACTCAGACAAAGATCTGCTGTCTAGAATTTATAAAGGACTAAAAAACACTAGGACCCCAAAATTTAAAGACCCAATCCAGAAATAGGAATCCAAGATGAATATACATTTCTCAGGAGAAGAAATTATAGAAGCGAATAAGTGTATGAAAAAATGCTCCACATCACTAGCCATCCATGAAATGCAAGTTAAAACAACACAGAGGTACCATCTCACCCCACAAAGAATGGCTATCATAAAGAAATCAACCAACAACAAATTTTGGACAGGCTGTGGGGAAAAGGGAACCCTTCTCCACTGCTGGTGGGAATGTAGACTGGTGCAACCATTATGGAAGTCAGTGTAGAGACTCCTTAAAAAACTAGGACTGGAA